CAAGTAACTGTTATTTATATTAGATTGTTTATTTACCAGTTTATAAAGAAATAAATGTGGAAACTATTTCTTATTCATAAATTTATAAACATTGACTAAATTATATAAATAATTTGCAAACCAACCATAAGGGCACCCTTATTTACCATTTTTTTAAAGTTCAAATCAACTGGAAGTTGGTCGATGATTTACCAACCATTCCAATATAAATAATATAATAAACAAATAGTGTAAATAAACAATCTAATAAATAAATTTATTATTTTTGTTGTCATTTCTCAAGAACAAAGAAAATGCATAAATTCACTTTCATATGTTTAGCTTTTTATTACAATTTTAATAATCACTTTTTAAAATAATAAACATTGTTGAAGCATGAAGGTAGTTATAAAAGTGGGTGTCATGGGAAAAACTGTCCTTTTGACACTGCATCTTTTTGCTGGCATGTTTATCCATGTTTGCCAGATTTTTCCATTTTGTCATTCTAACATTGTTCTGATATATAAAAATTTATATATCCTATTCTCCCTTAAATAAACGATGTAAAATTCAACTTACATGATCTGTTTTTATTACAAATTCTTACAAAACCTTATTTGTCTCTGTAAGATTTTATTATGCAAATCAAGGGTTGTTCATCATAACTAAATATTATAGTTATTGATATTTGCTTTTTTTTTTTAATTTCTGTCACATAAAGACTGTCATGGGCCGTAAGCAGAGACAGTGCATACTACTATTGAACCTCCCAAGTGGGGGCAAGTCTGATTGGGGGCCCTAGGCAGTGCTCTGTGACCCATGCTACCTTATTAACATTTGCTTTTTTTTATCTACATTTATATACATTACAAATTAAACAAAGCACAACTGACTATTAAAGGATGTAAAATCTTTCACAGATTTTGATGTCATTCTGGGGTCATTTGGGGGGGGGTGCAAATCCATGAATATGTTTTGCTCATAAATCTCAAGCTAATGTTAAAAATTGCCACAAAACATTGTTGAGTTATTTAAGATGGAATGATCTATTATGACATGTCTCTAATTTGTATTTCAATACATTGTATATATTTTCTATTTTTCTACTTGAATCGTTCACCTATATTGTATATGATCCATTATTGCACATAATTAGCTTAAAATAAAATTTGTATTTTATATGATTACTGCCTTATAAAAATTGAGATATAATAGAGTGGGGGGGGGATCTCCATAGCATAGATTCAGGTTGGGGAGACGAGACAGTTGCACCAGCTCTGATGACATCCATATGAGAGTCTCAATCTGACAAGGCTACTTAAAAACATGACTCGAGTTTACATGTTAATGTTTTGGTTTTGTGAAAAAAAAAAAAAACTCCAATGAAAGACACTGTTGTAATGAGAAAGCTTGCTGTCACTTAATCTCAAATGAAAATTGGGGGAGGATGCTCGATATCATAGATGGTCGGTGGGTCATAGATTTGGGGAGGGCAAGATCTTTGCACCAGTTCTTATTGTAAGAATGATACAATGTCAAAATACTAACAAGATATTATAACGTTATTGCATAATGACAACGCAATATTGGAAATTGCAAAAAAGTTGAACAGAGATCACACATTAAATTTGTTTTGACCTAGTTGTCATGTCTGTTAAAATATGTTATGATCTAGGTGACATAAGAAAAAAAAATACATGAGACAAATTTGTGTTATTGTTTGTCTACGATTTAAATAAAAATATGTATGGGCAACAAAGATTGGAAGGGATAAGGGAGAGAATGAGAAGATACAGACTAAGAGTGAAAGAAGAGTTTATTATGCATTTTTTAAAAAATAATAACTAGATGGACTTATTGAAATTTTAATGGTTGTTGACAATTAAGGTTATCAATTACCTTATATCTCTGTTCTTCTTCTTATCTCCTTATCCCTTCTAATGTTTGTTGCCCATACATATTTTTATTTGATGTAATGAATATGCATACACCTGGGTTCCCCCTCACAGTAATATGATTGGCTGGTGTCAACCATAAATACAGACTGATAGGGACTATGCCTATTGTCTACCACTACAACAAGGACCAGTCCATTACGGTTACCTGCTAGATTGTCCTACCCAGTTGCAGTAGTCAACAATCATTTTGCTATTTCAAACAAATATATCCCTTTCTGGGACATATCATTATTTAAATCTTAGACAAACAATAATATAAACTTGTCTTAGGTATAAAAAGAAATAAGGCATGCATATATATTTTCTATTACATCTTTTATCTTTCATTTAATGTCTTCTATTAAAAAAAAAATAATGCACTGTAATTTTTATACATTTTCTTTCTGTTGTAGCATACCTACGGACAATAATGGTATGTCCCCATTTACATAAATATAGTAGTAAATACTGTATGTTGATCTGTAGTTGGAGATTCATCTCCAGTTGTGCTGGTCAAACTCTCTGTCTCTGGACAGAAAGGATCCCAAGACAAGGCTATGTCGAGGGACAGAGTTTCATCTCAGAAAACAGCTCCAAACAGAGTCCACAGGGAATTTTTGGCTGAGCATACAGGCTCGGATACCCCACATTAAATTCGGCCTTGTGTGACATCTGACTGCGTGGGATGGTTGGTAGATATCCTGCAGTTGGAGGTTCGTCTTCAGCTGTGCTGGTCAAACTGTGCCTCCGGGTAGAGAGGATCCCCAGATGAGTCTATGTCGAAAGACAAAGACCCGAAACAGCTACCTGACCCCATTTTATATGGGATCACTGGGGAATTTTTGACTGAACCTATGGGCTCGAATACCCCACATTAATTTCGGCCTTGTGGCATATCTGACTGCATGGGGTGGTTCGTAGATATCCTGCAGTTGGAGATTTATTGTGGAATTCACTTGACTCATTTCTACCAGTTGACTACTTCTACGCACCACTGGCAAAACTTGTATGTGTTGTTCATGTTTTAAGTATTATCGCTCATTACCAACCTTCATGTGATTATTCTATTCAGTAACTTTTCCTAGGTTACAACACTTTCTTACTTGCCTTTGAATCTTTCAATTCATCCTGTTTCTTTGTCTCCATCACTTTCTTTTTTAGCTCATATATTCAGGTTGCAATGATTAATCAACTAATAATATTTTTCTTTAATATGATTTCTTGAATATTCAAGCTGGTAGTGGAAAATAAAGGAATGTACTGTTTAATAAATAAATGGAGTGTCTACTTAAATATGAATAACAAAAAAAAATATAACATTTAAAGTGATTGAGAGATTTAAATAAAACAATACTTTTTAGTCAAATAAAAAAAATAACGGGTGATTTACATTAGATGGATTTGATGGCTGGTTGCATTCAATATTTATATTAGTTCTAAGTCCTAGGAGAATTTAAATTACAATTTTTTTTTTTGTTAAACAAGACCCCCAGTTACAGAAAATCTGCTCTGAATCACCAAATAAGAAATGCAATAAAACTAAGACATTACTTAATTAGAAAAGCTTTTACTTGCTTTTATGTATAAAATCTATTATGGACACTGTTGATTTAAATTTTTTTTTTTTTTTTTGATGAATAATGAAATTTTATAAGAATTGTTTGTTTTTTATTAATTTTAATTAGAATAATTTATAAACTTTTAAAATTCTGTATTAATCCTTAGCAGTCAAGTGATATTGCTATTAAATGAAGACTGTATTTACTAATCATAAATAGAAAAGCTCACTACAATTCAATGACCGTCAATATTTTAAAATAATTTTAAATTTATTTTATGTATGTATAAACATGTTGATTTTTGTAAATGCAGATGTCCAAATGCAACATTATCAGAAAATAAGTTCAGTAACTAGTAAAGTTAAAATTTTTTGGTAATTTTCAAAAATTTGCACAAGTGTCTTCTTAAATAAGACTAGAAAGCCAAATTACCTAAAATTCAATAAAATATTAGTTTACTTAGAATATTTGTCTAAATTTTTAATATTACTGGTTAGATAAAAAAAATATATAAAAAAGGCATTCATGTTATATTCAAGTAATTGTTACAGGTATGCCTCCACCCTTAGAAAAATTTCCAAACAAGTCTATTGAGAAAAGTGTCAACACCTCATAAAAATAATCACCTCTGTGTTTAAAAATCATTTTCTGTGATATTTTAAACTAAAAGTAAGTGATACATGTTTCAAATCAGATTAATTAAACTTTAAATCAGCTAATCTTGCTCAAATAAAGTTTTAAAAAAGTATATTTTATTTTTGAAATATTATTTTTAATAAAAAGTATTACCTTGTGTTGGCAGATTTGTCAATATGGACAAATTTAGTGTTTTCATTGATTACAAATAACTCACTGTAATCAATTTAAATTCAGTTTGAAATACAGTAAAGTATTTTGCCTATTTGAAATATTGAATTTAAATTAAATCTATTAATTATTTTGAAATTAAAATTAAATCTTAAAATAAATGCTTCAAGAAAGATTTTTTTATTTTTAAAATGCATTTTTAAACTTCAGGTATTGCCTTTCTTTGTTGGAGGTTTATATATATATATATATATATATATATATTTTTTTGTTATATATATATATATATATGTGTGTATATATATATATATATATATATACACACACATATATATATATATATATTATATATAGATATATTTTTAAATGTTGAATATATTCTACATTTTTATATATTCTATATTTATGTGTGTGTGTGTGTGTATTCTACATTTTTTTTTAAAATATCCGACCTCTGCTGATCTGAATGTAAAAGAAAGAAGCTTGACCACAATAAACTTTTTTATTTGACTTTTTTTTTTTAAATCGCTGACGCCGGAAGTGACGTCAGAATAAGAACAATTATGTGACATGCGCAGTGTGATGGCTTAACAATCTAAGAACCCTTCTATTGCTGCGGGTTATTATAGATGAGAGGATCACGCTCGTCATTTCGGTTCAGACAAGACACGAGCTCATTTCTCTTTCAGTTATTATTGCAGTCTTTATTTTAACTATTATGAAAGCTGCTCTTGAACTGGACAGTCGGTTTGAAAGTGTAAATATGGCCCCAAGGTAAGCATTTTTAGTAGTTTCTTTTTGGGTGCGTGTGAGAGATTAAGTAAGTTGTTTTTTTTTTTTTTGTTTTTTTTTCTGTTTTTAGACTTTAAAAATTGAAGTAAATAGATCTTGTCATGGTACATACTTAATTATTTTTTTATATGTAATTTCTTGTATTTTGATTCTATTTATAAATACAATAAAAAATACGGACAACATTGTGACGATGCCTTTTTGAGAAAATTATTTCCTTATGAAGCTGATCCCTTTTAAAACAAAAATAATTCGTTTTAAATGCCGATGTTTAAAAAATCAAATTTATATTAAATAACTTCGAATCTTTATTTAAAAATCGTTTTTTATCATAAATAAATAAAAATCGTATTATTTATCATGTTTGCTTGTTGCAATTATGATGTCATGTTTATTTTGTCTACGTAAAATTTAGTTTGATGAAATTATATACCACTTTTTAATTTTTATCTTTCAAAAAAACAAGAAATCGTCATAAATAAATCGTTTTATTATTATTTTCCGCTATTTGAGGGCACATTTTGTTATGTGAAGAGGTGATAAAAAGACGGTTTTTTTTTTTTCGTTGGTGTAAAAACTCCAATGGAATAACACTAACAGGTACCGATGATCCAGAATTCATGTCTGTGTGTCAGAGAGGCAAAAAAAGGATAGTCTTGTTCGTATATGTCTAAGCCAGGAAGAAATAAATTAATCTCTCGAAGCAACTGATTTCATTTGTAAATGTTTATTATACAAATAAACATTTGTTTAAGTGTCAACTTCAAAAAAAAAGAAAAAACAATGAAACCTTAAATCAAATTTAATTCCAAAATTAAATTCATATTTTATTTTAAGTTTTTTTAAATCTTAAAAAGTATGCTTTAAAGTAACTTTTTTTTTTTTTTTTTATGACTTTTTAAAAATTTAAGCTGGGCCGGGATGAAAGGCAACTTATTATTCTACTTCAAAAAAATTCATTTATTTATTTTTATTTTAATCTATTTATTTTTATTTTCTCTTTCTTTCTTTTTTTTTTTTTTTTTTTTCTGATTTTTAAATCTGTGAAAAAACTAAAACTAATCTAACTTGTGTATTTAATTTAAATAAAAAAAAAAAAGAAGCAACTTTTTTTTTTCTTTAAAAAAATAAAAAGAGCCCTTTCTTTATTTCTTTTCATTTCACTTTTTTAATTATTTTTAGCCGTGGCATTTTTTTTTTCGTTTTTTGAATTTTTAAACAGTAAAAAAAAGAATTACTATTACCCACATGGAAGATTTATTTATTTTTTATAATATTCCGGATTGATTAAAAAAACAAAAGCTTAGTGAACGTTTCAGGGCGAAGAATTTTTTTATGCATAGCACAAGTTAAAAGCCAGGATGTCTGACATTTTAACTGGGGAGCCCTGATTTTTATTTAACCGAATAAGATCAGCTGATCACAACCAGCCGAACTGCCTACAAAAAAAAATGAGAAGCAGGAATTTAAAAAAAAATCAGTTTGACCCACATTCAAGTTTTGTGGGAGAAGAAAATATGTCATTTATTTCACCCACGGGTTGATGCCAAGAATTTTTTTTTTATTCCACCGCAAGGAATATTTTTATTTATGACATAATCAATGTAAAAAGACAGTATATTTTTGTACAATTGTCAAATAATGTTGCTTTTCTCATTGTTAAAATTAAAGTATTTTTGTTTTGTGCTGGTGGTTAGTGAGTCTGAAATTATTCACGGTCTTGTAAGAAGTTGAAGTCGCGTATCTCTTCTTCACGGTTCACTTTCACACTATTTAAAAAATCTTTTTTTTTTTATAAGATACATCTGCCTTATATTTTATAATTGTTGCAAGGATTTCTGCTTTAGAGAGAATTTCTTTCTCTCCATCCCGAATATTCTTCTAAGTAGTCGCGGAGCTAACTTATTTGTCTGCCTCACAATTGTTAGGAGAAAATCTGAAAGACATGGGTATAAGTGGGATCAAACCACTCCCGGGGAATAAATGGAACATTGAATTTTATTTTAGTTAAAATAACCTAATCATCTGGTATTGCCGTTTAATTTGGAGCTCAAAAATGGGGCCTTCGCTTTTTTTCTTTTTTTTTTTTCTTTTTTTTTTTTTTTTTTTTTTTTTTTGTTAGCCTTTGTTTTGCTTTTTTTGTGAGATTGTATTTTCTTCTTGATTATCCTTAGCGTTTTGGTAACTAAAAAAAAAAAAAAAATAGTGCACTATTAGATAGATGCACTTAAAAAAATTAAGTCTAAGAGGAATTGTTTCCTTCGGCCAAGTCATTCTTTGTTGTGTGGTTTTCCAGGGAGAATTGCCATCTTGTCTCCTTTAATAAAAATGATCCTATTTCACGAAATAAATGAATATTTCCTATACACACACATTCGAATTTTCTCAGTTCATTTAGCACTCCTATGAATCTGCATCTAGCTATTTTCTTGCTTTAAATATTTATTTTTTTAATCATTTTACCCCGAGCAAGGCGATATTGCCACTAAGACGCAAGGAGTTGCTGAAAGTGAATAAGATTTTCATTAAGAAAAAGGACAGGATTCGGGAAGGCAGTAGATAGCAATTGATGTTTAGGTGGCTGAGAAGCCAGAAACCGAAAGATTTGCATAGGTAAAACACGATTAAAGAAACTTAACCAGTTCAACTTCTGTCTGAAATTCTGTGACAAGGAGTTACCATTATTTAAATTCAGACTATTGTCAAAGATGACTAATGACTGAATGTAAATAGTTAATTCAGCATATTCTTTCATAAATAAGAAAGATGTTAATCTACAGGACCTAAATTCATTGGCAAAAAATTGGCAAACTCTGATATACCCAAATTTAATTTGTTATTTTCTGAACGAACCTAATATTAAACTACATAAAATGCTGCTGTCTTGCCTTTTGAAAAGGCAAGTGGAGAGCCTCTGGTCATTAACAATGAAAAATACCAACTTCTTAACTGGCACTCACAAAGACTTTTGTTAGTAATTTTAACAGAGCAAAGAATTTTCTATTCATAATCTCTGTGAAACAATGTTCTCCAATAGATTTTGCATTTTTATATACAAGGTGGCCACTGAAAGGCTGAATGATATAAAACAAAAATAACTTCAAACAATGTCATCCAGGGTGGTTATTGAAAATAACTAAGAATGGCAACTTACAAAGTGTAAGGGTTTATTTTAAACAAAAACAATACACGTAGATATTTACAAGTTCACCCGAGGCTGGAAAGAAAACTGGTATTTACCCAGGATCTGGCACAAGGCCAATATTTGTGATGCGATTTGGGCCTTAGGGTCAAGTAAAAATTCCCCATAGACCCCCACATATGCAGGGTCAGGTTTGTCTACCTCTCCAGATGAGACCTTGTCCTTCTGCATAGCCTTGTCTGGGTTCCTCGTTACCCGAAAGCAGAGTTCGACATTGTGGTTCTTGCTCAAGCCTAAGCTGGAAAACATGCCCCTCTAAGACCAACACCATAGGTGCTTATATTCCTACTGGAACGGTTCATTTAAGAGAGGTGTAAAAGTTCTTTATATACAGAGGGTTATCGGTTCGTTCCCTACAATTATTTTATTTGGATGGAAAAATTTTTAAATCCAGTTTCTGAAGTAATGTTCTGGCAATGCCTAGTTGAGTGGAGTGACGACGTGTAGAAGCTGATGGATCCTCAAGGACACTCTGCCATACAGCATCCACTGCTGCGTCAGTGCACAGATCATCACTGACTGATCCAGTTCTTTCAAAGTGGGTGATTAGGTTGTGAATCATGTTATCGCTAGGAGATACTCTGACATTAAAATATTGCCGATATTTTCTCGAGTTTAAATAATTGATCTTTCATTGGAATAAAAAAAAAACTCTAAGTTTTACTTATTGCTGGGTATTATATGTAACCATTTTAATCTCCAAAGGATGCGCTATAATCAGGGGGAAAAAAGTAAAATAAATTATAACTTCAGTTTTTCAGTGACCACACTATATTTATTTAGCTGCCTTTTTAGTCTATCTATAACTTAGTAATATTTCTAATTATCAGATCTATTTGAAATCTTGAACACTGCTAATAATTTTTTTTTTTTTTTTTTTTTTAAACTCTATACAAGGCTCAGGGGTCTCTCAAAGTAAGGGGTTACTGAATGAAATGCTTTCTGAATGTAAGAGTGGGTGGTAGGAAGTAAAGATTATAAGGGTACTGAGTGACCCGTGACTTAAGGAAGCCAAGGTTATTGGGTTATAATATTATAAACAAAAGCTAAAAAGATTCATCAATTGAAAATGTAAGTATTTCTTGCTTCTAGGAAATATGTAGTCACATCGCTCTCTTTGTTAGCTATGATAACCTCAATATTTTTTAGTAGCCAAATACAAAACTTGCAAACAGGAGATATTATGCCAATCTTCTTCACACGTGTTACCTGGTTGGAGAATTGACGTTTTTCTAATCTAAATTTCTATCATAAATTCTCAATGGTTTTCAGATCTGGGGATTGACTGGGCCACTCAAGGTCATGAATGTTTCCTTTTGAGCCAATTTTTTTTTTAGCAATGTACTTGCAGTCAGTATTAAGAAAAATCCAACCCTGTTTCAGTTTTAGCTCATTGGCAGAGAGATATTCTTCATATTTCTCTTGATATTTAGTTCCATCTTTCCCTAAATAATGGGATAGTGTTCTGCACCCCTTTTTAGTAATGTCCCATGTGACCTTGACTTTTAAATTAATGAAGCAAATTTGACTACATGAATATTTAATTTAACGTTTGTCTTGTAGTGCTTTTCCTTGCCAAATATTATTGGACATTTTTGTCCCTGAGGTCAACTGAGTATTCTCTTACTCTTGAATTAATGGTAGTACAGTTTCTGTGATAATTATGAGGAAAGGTGCCACATGTTTTTCTATATGCATGTAGATTGCCAAAATGATTCTACATCTAATCTACAATGTTTCTGAATAGTCCTGTAATATAGTTTATAGAACCATAATCATCATTTCCATGACTTGGTGTCGTCAAAACTTTTAACTTGAAAGCTTGCTTACCTCATTGTGCTAGATAGACTTTGACCCTATAAAAAGATTTATCTGCTCAGTGATTGAGCTTATTTTTAATCTTGTTGGGTATCTAGTCACCTTCCTCACCAGAAAAGACTGCTGGGGGAATTTGTTTAGTTGCTGGTGACCCGACCATGTGACATGTTAGCAGAAATGCTGTTTTTTTTTTTTTTGTTTTTTTTAATTTTTTATTGGTTTCATTTTCTATGGCTTATCAATCCTTTGCATTTTATTTAAAGCCAGAAAATATTTTTTTAAATGCTAATTAACCCATAGCTAGGTGTGGAAAAGGTGGATTCATACCTTTCCCAAAGGCATTTGCATGTAAGTGAATATAATGCACCTAATTAGAATTGGAACTTGGCTCTCCAATTAACAATTCTGAGCCCTTATCCATTACACCACCAACACATTCAAGCTTACAGCACCTGGTAATCTGAAGCAGTCACCCATCTAGTTACTGACCCGGCTTGATGTTGCTTAACTTCTTTGATTGTATGAGAACTGGTGTTTCAACGTGATATAACCATAAACCCTTAGTGACCTAATATAATATAGTCTATGAAATAGATTAAATATTGATGCCAAAGGAACTGTTTTTCTTTAACCACATAATAACCTAAATTAAATCTCTTTTTACAAGTTGAAATCTTTTCACTTTCATTTTAAGCATCTTAAGTCCTTTTGGAAGTTAATCATTTGGGGAAAGCTAATAATTAGAAATGAATCAATTGTGAAATAGACTATATTTATGAAGGGAGTTGAATGTTTATTAGCCTCACTCTATTTACTGTGGAATTTGAATTTTTCAAAAACAAGCTTTTCTAAAAACCGATTCCTTTTATAAAGATAATACTGTCCTTGTGATCATATTCAAAACTCGTGCATCACAGACTAATATCTTTAGTAATGGTGTATGTGACTGAAAGAGTGGGTAGGGGAGTTGTGTTGATATATCTATAATAATTATAACTCTTGGCTTGACTTTGAACAAAGATGTAGCAAGGACATTGTTCATGTCTGCTGCAGGCTCACTGGTGGCTGACCAGCTATTTAATATATTTTGCATATCAAATTGAATACATTGGCAGTATCAAAACAGTACACACACACACACACACACACACACACACAGAATAGTGTAATACTATTTACCTCATCAGAAGAGGCCAGTGTAAATAAAAAAAAAATTGAGCTCTTCTGATGACGTAACTGAAATTTTTTTTTTTTTTTTTTTCTGTATTGAACAGAAATTATATTATCCATCACCTACTTTAGTGAATGTTAAAATTCATGGCATTTTTTTTCTCTCTGCATTTTCTGTTTCATTCATTTTAAAAAAAAAAATCTTTAAAAATACTCAGAAGCACCTTCTCCCTAAATGAATGCCTTGTTGAAAACTACCAATAGCTGTTTTCACTTTTGTTTTTTGTTTCCTTTGTAGCTTTTGTAGGAAACGTCCTAGGACTCAGGATGATGAATTAGACGAATCCATTCCAATATCCAAACGAATCAACAGTCTCAACATAGAGTAAGTATTTTTTATTTTGTACATGAACACACACACACACACACACATGCATATATATACAAACCGAAAGAGGTGGGAGCTGGCAGCATAAAGCAAACATGAGCTCACATCCATCCCATGGTCCTTTGGATAGATTTTGGAGAAGTAGGCAGAGCCAAGGAATTCTCAGCACTTGTTCAACTGCTTATGATTTGCTGACAACTTTTAGAAAATTCCATGAAAAAAATTTAACCCTTTCAATCCTAATTGGAATATGTCCCAAGAAAATGGCTGCTAATAATACCAGTTGTTGGAACTATTTCTGAAAATAATTCCAGTTACTTATTATATATTAATACTGTTTAGGAAATGTCCATCCCTAGCCTAAAAACTGCATTAAAATTAGGTACCTGCTAAAAAATCAGCTCCAAACATAATGAAAACAGAGTTTTATTGTCAGATATTATTAACAGGAATGATCAGTATTTTTTTTTTTTTTCTTGAATATTAAATTTTTTACTCCATTTTAGGCAATTCAAAATTTTGATTTTAAAAAAGCTTGTTTTCTTGCATTAGCAATTGTATTAACTCTTAGCATAGAAAATTTTAGCCTTTTTTTTTTAATTTGGACATCCTTGCAAGATTCAAAGAATTGTTGGGTTTTAATTAAATTTTCAGGATTTATTCATGAATGAATTAAATTATTTTTGTAAACTTGAGAAATTCAATGTGATGATTTTTTTTTTTTTTTTTTTTTTTTTTTTTTTTTTAGATAAAAGCAGAATCCTTTGAAGAATTTAAATCAATAAATCGGAGCCCCATCTTACTGGAAATCTGGATCAAAAAAAATAAAAAGCCCAATAAAACTAACTAATTATTAGAAAAGCTTTTAATTGCCTCTATGAATAATATATATTAAAGATAATATTGTCTGAAGCAAAACATTTTTTCAATGAAAAATGAATTTTTGCAAGATTTGTTTTCATTTTTCCCAATTTTAATTGAATAATTTATAAAGTTTTGAAATCTTTTGAAATTATTCCATGAGATAATTCTTATAAAATACTGTTATGTAAAACTATATTTATTAATTATATATTGTAAAACTTCTTGCACTCTTATGACCCTGAATATTTTAAAAAGAATTTTGATTTGTTTTTGTATCTGATATGTGCAAAATTTCAAAGTATAGATGCCCAAACCTATAACACTAGTGTTAAAAGGTTTCATGTTTTAAAGATTGCCCTCTCTTTATCATCTGCTTCACCATGCTTAAGTATGAACACGTTCAGTGGTTAGTTGGCTGTCAATAAATCAATTAATACATCAGAAAAACATGACCCCCTGGTTAAAAAAATGCTTGTATTCAACATTTCATGCTATTAGTAATATTTGTTTCAAATCAGGTTAATTTAACTTTAGATTTGTTAATTTTCCTGAAATGTTTCAGAAATGTATATTTTAGTTTTTCATGATTTTTAAAACTGAGAATTAACATTTGTTTACAAATGTGTCAAAATGGCCGATTTTTTATCAATTCTACTAAAAATAAAATCGTTTTTGATCAATATAATTTCTGTTTAAAATGCAACACATAGTATTTTGATTACTGGAAATAGTAAATTTTAAATCCTTTAGCTTTCAACTAAAGCAAAAATGAAAGCTTCAAGAAAGGTATACCAATTTAGTAGGTGTACCTAGTTAAAGTACACATTAGATATATACAATTCACACTATTTACATAGTTCGGACTATTGTCCTCATCTTTGTCATATTCACCATGTGAATATGACAATGAAGATGAAGACAATAGCTCAAACAATGTGAGTAGTGTAAATAGTTACAATACCTCATTTGGGAAATATAGACAGATCCAAACAATAGACTTTAAGATCTCCTAAACTTCATTAAAATTTAAAGAGTCTTAAAACTTGTGCAAAAGTCAGATAGAAAGAATTAAAATAATTGTCTGCAATTATTTCATTTTTCTTACTTAAAACATTATTTTTAGTGAATACCTATATTTGAGTAGGCATTCCATTTATTTAAACAGTTTATTTTTGTCTATGGGCCTGTACATTTGAGAAAACTTAAAGAAAATGTCCCCTCTGTATAAATCTTGAGAAAATTTAATTTTCTTAACATCTGAAAGTCTCTTTCAATAGTGTTTCTTTGGATATGGTCACTCAGTAGTGATAGCACTTTAAAAAAAAAAAAGAAAAATGAATATTGGTTTCATAAAAAAATTTTGTGGTTTCATGGTGTGAAAATGAAACCGAAAAATGTTGGTTAAACCGCACATCTCTAGTGTATATAAGTCTCTTATGTATGCCCAATTTTTCTCTCCAGTAATTATTGTCATATGTATAAGTTGGTTCTAAATTTGAAGCCTAATGGAACAAGACAGACTAACAAAAGTCTTTTTTTTTTTTTTTGTCCTTAATCATTTCAAGAAACTGTTGGGGATAAGTTTTATTTAATTTTGGTATTTTCAACCATAAGAAATTCCATTGCTAAAAGAAAAAAAAATTATATATTTAAGTTAATTAGAGAATCTTATGTAATAATTAAAAAAATATTTCTCTCGTTAAAATGGCTCCTAGTTCTTCTATATGTACAATTTCAGCCTTACAAATCTGTTCATGTCTATAGATTTGTGGAGAAGGCAATGGGTGACTTCTTTCATGGGGTGGGAGTCATGTCACTTCACAGATAATAATGAAAAGGAATCTTTGAAGAGTCGTGATTGCCTACATGAAAGGACGTGGCATTAAAAAAAAAAAAAAAACACTTTTTAATTATCCTCCCCCATGACCTAACATGATGGAAAGTTTGACACAAAACCATATGATGGAGTCCCATATGCATACATTCAGTCAGTGTTAAAAATTGTCTAATTCTCTCAGCACACACACACAGAGGTAACAGTCTGTTGATATATAATCCAAGTGAATCATATTAATACAATATAAAATATTAAATATTAAAACTGATTCACACAAGGAGCTCAATGTTTTAACTAAACAGCAACATATTTCATACGAAAGGAATTTACATAAATGATCATTATCACCATGTAAATTATCCCAATTTACAAGGATTTTCAAACCAGTCAAGGATGATAAATTATTGAAATAAAAATGGATTTAACCAAAAACAGTCATCTTTTTGGTTAAACTGCACATCTCTAGTATCAACAATTTATCTAGTAAGGATATCCCATGTAGAAATGTTGAACTCCATCCAGTAGAAGGAAAATGCAGATTCTCTAATGTAATCTACCAGGCAACCATTTACCCTAAAGTGAACAAAAACAACCACAATATTCATATTGGAATTTTCACAGGTGAATGGAAATGACTATATACCCATTGGCACTCCTTTTCCAACCCAAAATTGAAATTCCAAACTGCACTTTCCAAAAAATTTGAATTGAGGGAAAAACAACTGAACCCTCAGATTAACTGGAAAATCATGTTTTGCTCACACGTCTAGTAATTTTAAAGGTAGATGTTAATCTATGCCTACAAGAGAAAATTAGAATTATTAAATTTGAAAATCCAAATATACTTTTAAACCAAATGAACAAATTAATTTCTAAATGTCGTCACCAAAGTAGATTTAAACATGTCTAGACTCTTACTGAACTTGCATGAACTGTTATCATTTGACAATTGCACTGTGAATTCTGCTTCTGTCATTTCATATATCCTTCCAAAATTTTTCATCACTCACCCTTTACTAAAATATCTTTTCTCTGTCGCTAAATTACTATTGATACCTTGGTGACCATCACTAATGTTTGATATTACCCTTATTGTTGTTATTTTCCTATTCTCTTACTATAAGGTATCTTTACTTTTTTTTTTTTTTATTATTTTATTTGATTATAATTGATTTTATTTAATTTTAACTTAAAATAATAATTTTCATATATGCTAGATAGATTTTTTTTTTTTTTTTTTTTTTTTTTTTTTTTTTTCCAGAAAATTAATGTAGATTTATTTTATAAACAAAGGTTTAAGTAAGAAATGATTTTTTTTTTTTTTTTTTTTTTTTTTTTTTTTTTTTTGACAATTTCCACCCGTGGGGCCAGTCTGTGGTGTTGGGTGGAAGGTAGAAGACCTTTATAAACTTGGACTCTTTGGGGATAGGTGGGTGAGCAGCTGCGTTAACCAAGGTGAGTGTTTGCAGGGGCAGGTTATTTTCCAAGAGATATTTCTTAACGTCAGGACCAAAGGCCAAATTCACCCCCTCCACAAAGAACTGTCTGGTGATCCATGCCCTTGGGTTTTCCTTCTATATAACTTGCAATTTTTCTTTCAGAATCTTATGTGGCCTTTAAGGCCCTGGGGTTTTCCGAATGATAAACAAGTAGCGGCTTAATCTTGCAGTCACTGCTCACATTGTCACACAGTGCAAGGGTTTGTGACCTGGCATCCTCTTATCTTCTGTCGTTATATAAGTCCTCCTTGGTATCTTCTTCCTAAAAAGTCCTGTCTTGTCACTGTTGAAGACTTGGTGGGGAGGGTATCCTCAGGTGCTATAATTCCAGCAAAAGTTTTGAGGTAATCCTAAGCGGCCCTCCTATCCATGCTTACTGCCTCACCATGTTTAACAATGGAGTGAATGCTGGTCCACTTTTTAAAATTCTCAAACCAGCCCCGAATAACTTTAAATGGTTCATCCATCGAAGTAACTGGTGTCTTCTACAGTAGATCAGCATAAATAGCTTGTGCCCTCTCGCAGATTATAGACTTTGCTGCTGTGTCTTCTGCGAGCTACTCTTCTGTCACTTACACCATCAGCAGCTTCTCTAGATTTTCGTGGATAGATGTCTGCTGTTTAGGAATTAACACCCATGACTGGCGTTACAGCCTTTATCGAGTCCTTCTGCTTCAGTATGTTGCTGATCACAGAAGTGCTACACTCATACTGCTTTGCCATGTTAATTTCGTGCACATCTTGATCATGTTTTTCAATAATTTCTTTCTTTAATTCAATGCACATCATCCGCTTCTTCTCGGCACTCTCCTTTGCAATCACTTTCTTCAGGCCCATGGTAGGAAAAAAAGAAGTTTTGCAAAATAACTGCAAGCAAAAATGTGATCACAACACTGATGCTTCCAATGTGAGCTATCTGCTTAAAGTGAACAAGTGAGACACAAGATGCTGCAGTGGAGTAGCTGAAGCTGGCTCATAACCCAAATTTTAGCTCTTGAGCCAAAGCAAAAAAAATCAGCTGCGAGATGGCTCATATCTTGAAAGACTTGTTAGTTGGGACACACGTAAGTCAAAGTGCCACTGTGTGTGTGTGTATTAGAATTAGTTGTCTATATGTCTCTGTAGATTCTATGCTAACAGTTTCTTCTCTCATGCTTTTTGCTTAGGGAACTCTCTTCTGACTTCTTGCCTTGCTTTTGATTTTCAAAAATTTAAATACAATGTCAATCATTCTTTCTTTTTTAGTTCCTGTTGTTCTTGCTCCTTAATTTTTTTTTTTTCTTATATTCTTTCACACTCAGTAACCCCCCTCCCTTGCATCTTAGTGGTTTTATTGACTTGCTTAAGGTGAAATGTCTTTAGAAAAATTTTCAAATGATTTATATTTTTATTCTTATTTTTCAGAAGCCGTTCTGATTGTTCTCCAGAAGTAAGTATTTTTTGCTTATCATAAAATATTGGTTTTATTTCATATGTTACACCCATCCCAAGAGATGGAGGCTTTTACAATGAGCATGATTTTAGATGTATTTTAAGGAGTACTGGGTAGATAAAAAGCTTATATCATTTGTTACTTTTAAAACAATGGGTTTATTTTATTTTATTTTTTTTTTTTAAATGACCTTTATTGAACTTACTGGTTCTTTTGACTTTCAGGCAAATTTGATATTCCTATCCTCCCATAACTTATCTTTCTTAGTGAAGAATTGTTTTAAGTGCCTTTTGCGGTGTTGTGGGGATTGATTTTTTTCTCAAATCAATAAAGACCAGAATAAAGGTTAATCCAAAACTGCAATATATCTGGTGAATGTGAGAGAAGTGTCAAAAATTTCCAGCTGAAACAAATTTTGCCAGATGATTAAATGAGGCATTCTCATATTAAACTAAAGTACACTTTGACCAATTCTGAACACTTGTCATCAATTACTGTCTTCTGTTGCATTTTCATTAGGACCTTTCTTCATTTGAATGTTTCATTTTCTTCTCAGGGGCACATATCCTTGCGATTCACAATATAAAGTGATATTCCTAATAATGTCTGTCCTCTTTCACTCCGATAACAGAGGCTACACAACATGGCATGTAGCTTATATTTGTTGGGTGTGACCAGGGAGGATTTAGTGGGGTTTAAATCTGACAAGCATGTGTCCCAATGGCGTATCCATACCATGCCAAAAACTGGCTATTTGTTCAAGCAGCCAGTTGTGGTCACTTGCACATGAGGGAGGTCTCTTTCTGGTATAAACTACCATTACCAAGAAATATGCAAGCATAAAGGGATGCAAATGGCCGGCAAGCATATACCTTGCATAGTTTCTGCTGTCAAAGCATGCCCAACACCATTAAAGATCAGCTATTAGCTTGAATGGCACTCTGCTCTAAGACTGGATATATATCTTTCTGCTGTCTCCTCTAGACTGTTCTTGTTCCACTGCCCATGTCTGGGGATGTCTCATCTAGTGCTTATTTTTAGTACTGCTCAGTTATTGTTTGCCCATTTCCATGGAGTTCAAGTACACACTGCCAAACCCAGGGTGTGCAGTGAGTAGCCATGGTCAAATGCAAGATAAATAATGAAACTGTCCAACAAACAGAATTAACAAAGATTACAATAAAAAGATAAAGGAACAAGACAAAAATGAAATATCAAGCAAACAGGTAAACAATATATGCAAGGCAAATTAACAGTAATAAGACAAAAAGTTCACACTAAAAATTGGCATTGATATACAAAAGCAAGTTCGAACAAGCAAACAGCATTCTGTCTTCTTGACAAGGCAAATCTGGATTGAGAAAAAAAATCCCAGCATGTATTTGTGTGCTTTGCCTGTAAAAGGGGAGGGGCAAGTATTCGGTGATAGTTCCCAGGAAGATTGAAATCAACACAGGGATTGAATTCAGTCACTCACCAAATTCATGAACCAATGCTTTAATCCACTAGGCCATTATCCCGTTCAATCCCAGGGTTGGGCAGTGTGTATTTTGAACTTGTTGGAAATGGGTGAGCAATAACTGAGCAGAATCAAAAATAAGGACTAGACAAGCCCAGTCTCTGTTAGGAATTGGGATGGAGTACTAGTATTGATTGCCACAATGTTTCCATCAATTTCAAAGAAGCTATTCTAAATATACACTCGCAGACCCAGCCATATTGTTAATTTATCTGTTTACAAGATGCAGCATCCAGAATGTTTAATATGAATAGCGTATTGAATATATGAATATTGTCTAGAGTATTTGCTGGCTACATTTGTGAGCCATGATGCTGGTTCATGTGGCCCCCCCCTTTTTTTTTCTTTTTTTTTTTAAAAAGGGACAATAGATACTCTGGCGTTTAACCCAGTCTCTTTAAATGGTCAAATTTGCAAAGGTTTTATAAATCTATTTTGAACTTTGCAACAGCAATAAAGAAGTGGGGGGATGATCCCATTGTTAGCAAATATTTAGGTTTATGGCATATGTACGTGTTTCTTTGTGACGACATCTGTCAAATTACAGAGACGTGCTCTTGTATACACTGGCAAAAATAAGTTTAAGTCCGATGGCTAAAGTTTTATTCATTTCAGAATGTTTCTAATAAAACAATAGTTTAATTTGAATAGTTAAATTTGTTTTATTGTGTACTCTTTATGCAGAATTTATTTCTTTCGAATGATGTTAAAATTGTACATTTCTCTACAACTTGAAAAATTTTAATGCTGTGTATGCCACAGCCAACACAAAGCATTAAAATTTTTCAAGTTGTAGAGAAATGTACAATTTTTACATTCTTCAAAAGAGAAATAAATTCTGCATAAAGAGTACACAATAAAACTAATTTATATTGTTTTATTAGAAACATATTCTGAAATGAATAAAACTTTAACCGTCGGTCTTAAACTTATTTTCGCCCATGTATGTTTATACAGTGTATCAGATGTGTGGGTAGTATGATGGTTATTAGTACTGAAAATGGAATTGACAAGTGAAGTTCAAATTCAAAATCTAACTCGGCCTGTTGCATTCACTTTTACATATCTGCCCTTAGGAAAGGCATTAATCAATCTCCCTCTACTGTGGGTTAAATAATGGCACACTGGTTGGCAGCCAGTCTAGGGTAAGGACAACTCCAAATTCATGACACTAGAGAAGGCAGTGGGAAAACCATTTCAGTATCTTTCCTAAGAAAGTATGGTAATTCTCAGGAAAACTGGAAAGTTATAACTGTGCCTACGACTTGATGGATATAATTTACAATATACAAGGCCCAAGAGCCACTTGAAGTAGAGGATTACTGAGTAAGAAGCACCACACCAAGCAAGATGATAATGCCATGAAGGTGCAGTGATAGAGAAGGAAAAGACTTTATAGGGAACCAGCAACACAATCCTAAATAAGCAACAAACCTCTAATACTGTTCAAAAGACCAGGGAAGAGTATGAACCGGACGATAGGCAAAACTCCTATTGTAGAAAAATGAATAAATAGTGAATAAAATTTCAGAGTTTAGGCGGAGACTTTAGAAGTATAAAGTAGACTTTAGAAGGAACCAGAAACCCATTCATAAAAAGTAAACAAGGGATAAATCCCTACACCTGTTCAAAAGACCAGAGAGGAGTGTGAATTTAAAAAAAAAAAAAAAAAAGATTTTGATGTTTCCTATATCATGTACTCTAAATTTCAAAAAGAAAAAAAATGTCACTGAATTGATATACATTTGCTACCAATGAATGAAGTTTTTTTTTTTTGGTTCACTTCATGCTGGGTTCATGACTCGACACTGCAATTAATTGTGATCTTGGCAGAAGATGGGATGGATTCATACCTTTCCTTATGCTATTTGTGCGAAAATGAACTCTCCTGGAATCTGAATTCAGCTCACTGATTTCTCTTACTACATTGACAATGGGCAGTTATGGGGCAAGGGAGGTAAACGTCAGTCAGACTGGTTTATTTTTATATATATGTAGAAGTTTATTAATTTGCATATTCTAGGCCTAAATAGCAATGAATGAAAACATATTTCATTAATATAGCAAAAAGTTTTTCACTTATCTGATTGATATTCCCTTCAGGAATTACTCCATCCACTCCTCGTGGGTGGGGGCATATAGCAATTGATATATATATATATATATATATATATATAGTTTATATATGATGATCCGTGTAGGTTAAACCTAGATAGGTTTGTCTGGCTCTTTATGTTTACTTAGTTTGCTCTACTTAGCGTATTGAGCATGTTGCTTAGTTATTTTTACTTTACTCGTGCCGGAGGTTTTTTTTCTTTTGACTCTGAACTTTCATTCTAGACGATTATTTTCGCCGGAAGTACATGTTCTTACTTTTTTTTGTGTTCTTACTTTTTTTTTTGTGTGTGTTTTTTTTTTGTTTTTTTTTTTCCTTGGGTATTGGTTTGTTTATTTACAAGTTAAAACACCTATGGTTTTGCCAGATGAGTATAGCTGCTTATATTTATAAGATTATTAGTATTTTTATATATATGTATGTGTGTGTGTGTATATATATATATATATATATATATATATATATATATATATATATATAAACTTGAATGTTATTTATAGTGGGTACTCGTAAAAACTTTGTTCATTTATTAAACAGTATATTTATTTATTTTTGTCTACTGGTTTGAATATTCAAGAAATCTTAGAGAAAAATAGGTTCCCTCAGGTAGGATATGAATTTGCGTTTAAATTAGGTAGCTTCACTAATTTGTGATTTAAATTTTCAAAAATTCATTTTAAACCTTAGGTTTAAAAGGAATTTTTAAAAATTAAAAACCTTGAATTTTTTATTTTAGTTTTAATTTCAATCTAATAGATTAAATTTAATATTTCCAATATACAAAATATTTTGCTGTATTTCAAAAACTAATTTAAATTAACAGGAGATTTTTTTTTTTTTTTTTTTTTTTTTTTTTTTTAATTTTTCCAAAAATAAAATATACTTTTCTGAAACTTTTTGAGGCATATTAGCTGATTTAAAGTATAATTAATCTTATTTGGAAAAATATTTAAAATATTGCAAAAAATCTTTAACCCGACAGTAGCTGATTTGGCATGTTGACAGCCTGATGACAGGTCTAATGTTCTACAGAGACTTTATCTGTAAAACATAATTTAGGAAAATTTATATAACTTTTAAGTACTCGGTAATCTTAAAAATTTAGAAAAATATTTTCCTATTCTAACGTTTTATTTAATTTTAGAAATGTTGACTTTAAATTTATTATAGTTATTGCTCTTATTTTCTGATAATGTCATTTAACCTAATAAATTTCTCTAATTAAAATTTTTTAAACATGAAAATTCCTGTAAAAATTCATTGAAAAAAATTTTTTTTTCTTAAGACAATAGTGTCTTATGTCTAATTAATGTCATAGTTTTATTTATTATTTTATGATTCAGAGCCAATTTTCAGTAATTTGTGTTTGTTTGACAAAAAAACAAATTGATCATTTAACTATGAAAAGGCTGAAGTTTTAATTTCTCAAAATTTCATAAAATTAAGTGGAGGTAACAGACGTTAAAAAAAAAAAACCCACAATAATTTCATTCATTTATGGACAAGTCCTGATAATTAAAATCTGATAATTATTTGATTTTTGCCAGAATTTCCAAAACAATCTGTTTTTAATGCTACAAATGCCTACACTAATCTTTGGCCCACCGGCTTACACAAGATGAACGTGATTTTTAACCAAAATTTTAAACCTGCTAGAAAAGATCAAAAATTTAATAAAATAAAAAATTACTTTGGTCTTTCCTCTTAGTAATAACAAGCATTTTGGAGATAAAACTTTTTTATATCCAGTTTGGTGCCTTTTTTTTTTTTTTTTTTTTTTTTTTTTTTTAACTCTTAATATTACAATTTTTATTTATTTTCTTCTCCCCTTTGTCTTTTAAAGTCTGCTCCAAGCCCTGATCCTGTGACTGCAGAGAATGGACATTCAGATTTGTCTTTTAAACTTTGGCAGCAGCAACAACAGCAGCAGCTTCAGTCTGTGTATGCTGCAGCCGACACGCGGTCCAAGCACTATCATCAGCAACATTCAACCTCCTCAATGTCCCTGTCTCCGATCTTGGATAACCCTCATCCTAACCTGCATTCCCAACAACAGCAGCATTCTACTCCCGCCCACCTGCTCCACCCACAGCATAATGCCACAGAGCAGACAATAATGAAAAAATACTCCCCAGAACTTGATGAATCTTCAAACCCTTATTACTATCACATAAACGAGATTCTGTACAAGGCTCACATCGCACGCCTAGAACGGCTAGCCAAACCTCTTCATTCACAAAGTCCACATCACCACCACCAACAACAACAACAGCAGCCGCCGCCACCACCACCACCTTTCCCTTTCAACAGATAAATGGAAGATTTTGTTTTGTCTTAAAACTTTATTCTATGATTCTGATTCTTTGATAACTTAATGAGTCTTTCTGCCCCAATTCCCTCCCTTCTGTATATAAATTGTTACTCCCCACCCTCCACAATATCTGATGTCTCCCAATCTAATTTCTGTGGGTGTATTTGCTTACCCCCTTTGGGACCTTTCCTATCTTGGCTGTGAGAAATATACTGTGAATAACTTTTTTTTTTTTCTTTTTTTTTAAAATCTTAAGCTAACAACAACAGTGGATGAAAATTTAATCAGAAAAGGAGAAAAAAAAAAACAATAGGGGGAGCACTTTTATTTCAAAATATTTCTGGCATATTCAGTGGTCTTTTTTTACAATTTTTTTTTATTTTTTTTTTATAGGGTTCAAAAATTCATCTTGTTTTAAAGCAGCAACATGAGACATTTGGTGATGTTTTTTTTTTTTTTTTTTTTTAATTTTACCTCCCTCCTCTATTCTTAATTGCTAATTTTCTTGGGCCAATTTTCTGAGCAAAAAATGTTGGCAGGGTGGGGGGGGTCTTATATAATTATTCACATCTTCATTTGCTTAAAACATGTTATGGCTAGATCAGAATTGACAAGTTCATTAGTCTCAATCAAATATCAACATAGTGAAAACTTCACTCTGATGATTAGCAGCAGTGTCATTATCTGCAATGTGCCTCACTGTTGTCCGTCTTTCTAGACGACACTCCTGCCTTAATACCACTCAAATAAGTAGAATGTTTGTTTGATTTTAGGTCATCAGGAAAATTGTTCAGATATTACCTTCATTCGAATAAAGGAACTCCTCGTTTCATTATTTTCTCCACCCTTGCTTTCTCTTCTGCAATTAAAATAGGTATGCATAAGTGCAGCCCTTTTTAATTTGCTTGGGGTTTCAGGGCAGTGACTAAAAGTCTGGTTTAACTTAGCAGTTTCTGACACCTTAAAAACAGCATCGGTAAAAGCGCCGTTTGTCCGGAAAGTATTCAGCCGGTTAATAGAAATGCTAGCCTGTCTAGGGCAACAGCCTTAGTTCACTTCAAAGTACTCCCTACCTCACTCACTCATGCCAGCATCCCTTTCACTTCTCAAAGCACCTCTGCAAGGTTATCCTTGCTTTACTGACTGCCATCAGCAGCCACATCACATTCTCCTTAATCACATCCACAGTCTGAGGTTTCCCATCAAGCATCAGTTTGTAGCTTTGGGAAAAGTCAGAAATTGCAGGAAGTCAAACCAGGAGTGCAGCTGTCAAAGACAAGCTGACAGATGGGGTTATTTTAGTGTTTTATGCCCCCTTTTGAGAAATTATGGACAGTGGCAACATTTTTTTTTTTTTTTTTTTGGTAACTTGTTGCTAACTGAATAACCCCACGGGAAAGTGTCTGCAGTAATGTTCTCTCTGAATACTTGTCAAATTATGTCACAACTATGCAAACAGTTTTTGACATACTCCAAATAGCTGGATACTTTCTAGACAAACTTTATTTCTTGTGGCTGCTTTCTTGAAAAGGATTAATTTCCTCTTCTTTTTTTTTTTTTTTTTTTTTTTTTTTTTTTTAACAACTTATTGGTTTTCACAATTATTGTCTTTCTTTTCTCTCTGTTGCTGTGTATATTGGCTATTTTAGCAAATTGTCCATGAAATGCTTGTTTAGTTTAGATTCCCATTCCGTTAAAACAGAGATATTGGCTGAAAATCCTGTTTCATTCCATCAAATCTAACAACCAATTTTCATCTTCACACATCAGCAGATGAAGCATGTAATGTGTTACCCAAAGACGACTCCATTTCACTTACTGGAGATAGAAAAAAAAAACACTGGATAGGGTAGGCACCCCTCAAGTTTTACTTGTCAATAGCTTGTCTTGCCAATATATATATGGCTTATTATATAAAAGTGTTCATGACAAAAGCCAGAAATAAATCTATAGCTCTTTTTTTTTTTTTCTTCTTCCCTCACCAAACCAATTGATAAAGAACCAATAATGAAAGAAACTTTTTTTTTTTTTTTTTTTTCTACAGAATCACACCTTTTACAGAAATTTTTTTTTTATTATATTACTATTGATTATGACACTACATGAAGAATATAAAAACTTAAAAACATTTTCTTTTCTTTTTTCATAGATTTCTTAAATTTTATGAGTAGTTTTGGTATGTGAAATGATCTCCCTGTGCAAGTGCTATCTATATATATATATATATATATATATATATATATATATATATATATATATATATATATATATATATATATATACATATACATTACGATACTCACCTCTTTCAATTTTTATCATATTATGATGAATGTTTTGAAAGTGGCAGTAGGAGGGTACAGTGTACGAGCTTTTTTTTTTTTTTTTCTTTCTTTCTCTAACGATGTTGTAGGGAATGAATTTATATGGAAAACTGACCCCCTCATTTTAAAAAATGATGTTCGGTCTGTTTTAACTGATAGTAATATTAAAAAAAAAAAATTGTTTTTTTTTTATAAATGATTACTTCTTGTAGAGGTGTGATTCTGTAGAAATGCCCAAAAAGTTCTTGTAAAGAGAAATTTCAGGATAATAGTTTATATCCCCCCTACACACACACACACACACACACAGAAGATGGTGTTGGTAAGTTCCTAGGCTCGCTTTTTTTTTTTCTTGTCAGTTTCTAACATTTTCTTGATTGGTTGTCCCAAATGGTCATAATTTTGAACTGACATTCATCCAACCTTGAAACACATGTGCCACTCAAAAACCTGTGTTTTGACTTAAAGAACATTTGCTTAAAAAAAAAAAATTTAAGCTCCTTGTATGTAGCTGAGTTTCCTGCAAAATTTAACACAAGCATGTCTCTCAGATTTCTCAAAGATTGGAGATCCATTCCAATGCAAATGTTCCAAGAGAAATAAACACGAGTAGATAGCTTAAAATCTATTGGCAGGCCAGCCAGCGATCAGTAAACATTTGCCTTGTATACCTTTCTATTAAATGGCAGAATTACATTTCCAGACTGGGAACTTTCAATACCACAATCAATATAAAATGCTATTTTTAAATGGTTCATCAGCTATTCTTGTGATGTGATGAAATTTAGATAAGTTTCTTACTCTTTGTTTTGTGATTTTTCAATTTTATTTTTATTTATTTTTAAATCACAATTCGGCTACTATATTTTATAGCCTTTCTCAGGTGTCTGTTGTTAATAACTTTCTGATAATATTAAGCAGAATCCTTTATTTAATCAACACTAGGAAACTGATCTAATTGAATCGCAGTATAATAATGATGATGACAATATCTCTTCAAAGTAAAGACAGCATAAAACTGAACTGTCACCATTAACATTGTTAGCCATTAGCATTCTGCATTATTTCCCTTCCCACTGTATATGGTGATCTCCACACCACTCAAATATAGTAACAGTTCTCAGTTTCAGTCAAGGTCATTTTAGCTGTTGCCGTAAACAGTGGTATCTGACAATACCACTGAAATTCAATCATCAATTTGCAATCAGTGTCATCTGCAGAGGCAGGATGCTTTCTTCTTTTTTTTTTATTTTATTCTCATTGTCAAATCAAATTGCCTAGAGATTAAGCATTAATGGTGATTTCTCTTGGGTTGTTGCTTGATCTGGGGTGGGCTATCTCTGGGTACACTTAAAAAAAAAAAAAAAAAAATCCACTTGTCTAAATGATTAATCTCATTTTTCCAGCACAGGACATTCTGCTGCCGACCATTGCCCACCTTTGCTTGGGTCTCAGGACTTATGACTTAGGAGAAAGATTTTTAGATTCTTAGCTGAGAAAGCTCAAGATTTCATCGTTTAAAAATGAAATAATAAAGGAATCCAGTTTTTGTTTTCTGGCAATTATACTAAGAATCAAAGATTATAATACATATAATAGATGTATGAAAACCTGATATATAATAAAGAGACTAAATGATGTATGCACAAGAGTTGTTCAGGTTTCTTTTTGAAATTGTTTAATTGAAGCTCATTGGATGAATTGAGGGGAGGGGGAATAAATTCATCAACTCAGACAACTCTTGAAGATGATGGCTTCTGGAAGAGTTATAAATATACACCCTATTTTTTTTTTTTTTTTTTTTTTTTTAATAACGTCTCTGAGTTAAATGCTTTTTTTCATAATAAAGGAAAGGAGTTACAAAACTCTGAAAGGCAAAATGTTTATTTTTCTTGAAAATGATTCTAGGTCAAATTTACAAAAAAAAAATTTGCAAAGTTAAATATATAATTAAAAATCTATATTACAAAAGAAGGGAATACCAGGATTTGTAAGCTTTGGTGTGTGGGTGGCATAGTGGATAACAGTGTGGAGTTGTTAATCTGGAGAGTCAGGTTCCAATTCTAGTTGGGTTCATTATTTTCATTTATGCACCCACATCCCTGGGAGAGGTATCCTCCCAGCTATGGGTTAATTAGTAAAATTTGTATTACTAAATAATCATCTCTAAAAAAAAAAAAATTTTTTTTTTTTTTTTTTTTTTTTTTTTTTTTTTTTTTTTTTTTTTTTTTTAAACAATCTAAAAAATATTTTCTGGTTTTAAATAACCTGCAAAGGCCAGAGCTAGTATAGTCAGCAGTTGATTGGGTGGGATAATTTGACAGTGATGGATTGCCTGTGTCTGGGCTTTGAATATAAGTCCAAAAACTGCACAAATTCAATAGAGGGTCTCAAGAATTCTGAAGCATCGATACACTTCCCACACTCAGCTTAGCAACTGGCTAAGACCACCCACAGAGGAATGCTGAGCCAACATGTACCTGTGATGTCATTCCTCCTACTGTCTCTTCAAATCCAAGCTGCCATCACTATCTCCTAAAAACAAATAACAAAAAGAAATAGTCCTTTTTCATTGGTACGATTTCATGTAGTAACGTGGGCACCCAGAGAATATACAGAATGCAACAATATTCTAAAAAAAAAAAAAGGGGGCTGATTCTCTGTTCATCACACACTGTA